TGTCATTCCACTCATAGCAAGCAATATGATTTTCTAATTTTAGCTCAAGAAGGCAAAGGATATCCATATGTATGCATTCCATTTCAGTTTAAAAGACTTGAAATTTTCTTAGATTCCTACTTTCTACAGACAAGGGAATAAGGCATGGCTTACAATCAGGTAAGGTATGCATCATATTGGCTCACCATATCATTTAATTTGGAGGCTGAACAAACAATCAGAAAAGCTGAAGTGTATATAGTGAAGGAGGAGGTATTAGCAATGGAAAAAGCCTTGTTAACAACTTGCACTCTCAGATGACACAAACTGGTTTTTTTGTGAGTATGACTTGAAGCAAGTGCCGATGAAGATAGTGATTGCAGCCTTTGGAATAGATTACAACTCAATATATAGAAACCCTGAATCCTCACAACTGTACTACTAGGTAATAGCTTGGTAAATGGGGAAAACATTGAATTCAGAAGGATTTCATCTTGCTGAGATCTGTAATCAATGCTAATGGGAAACAACAGTCAAGAGATCAAATGATGCATTGCATTGGATACATCTGCTGCACAAGATCTCTTTAAAGTCTTGAAAAGCAGGGAGGCTTCTTTGAGGAGTCAGATGCACTTGACCCAAGCCATGGTATTTTCAAATACTTCATATGGCTGTGAAAGTTGGACACTGAATAAGGAAGATTGCATTTCAGTTGTGCTGGTGAATAATTTTGAAGTACCATGGAATACCCAAAGAACAAACAAATCTGCCTTGGAAGAAATTCAGCCACAGAGTTCCTTAGAGGCAAGGGTGGGGAGACTTCATTGCATGTGTTTAGATATGTTGTCAGGGCAGATCAGTTCCTGTAGAAGGACACCATGCTTGGTAAAATAAGAGGGTGTCCAAAAACAGGAATGCTCTCTGCAAGATGGACTGACACATGGTTATGACAATTGCCTCAAGCAATTGTGTAGATGACACAATAAAAATGTTTGTAAAAGTTGGACATAGAATAAGGAACACCAAAGGAGAATCCATTTGTTTGAATTGTGCTGCCAAAGAATTTTGGAAGTTTCATGGAATGCTAAAAGGACAAACAAATCTGTTTGGAATATGAATGGCCTGAATTTTCCTTAGAAGCAAAGACGAAAAAAACTTTATTTCATGTACTTTGGACATATTATTAGGTCAGACCAGTGTGATCATTATATCATCTGGTGTCAATTTGGGACTTGAGAGGATTAAGAGTGAAGCGATGGAGTATAGTCTCTCAATCAGGTCATAGCCAATGAGGCCTCTATGTGGGAATGGCCTTCTCCTGAGAATTTTGGGAATGCATGGATTTCCTCCTTGGAAGCAGGAGAGACACTCTCTGCTCACTCTCTGGGAGACCCTCTACTGACAAGAGACATGGCGCTATGCACTGGAAGTTGGAGAAGCCACATGGACCTATTCTGATGCAACCAGACCTCTGGAGTTGGGAAAGCCACTTAGAGAACCCTGCCAAATGCTTACAATTCCACTGGATCCACAAGACTTCCAACCTACTGGCCTGTGAACCTCGTGAATTCAGCATCATTGCATGTATTTCGTGAATCTGAAAAGAACTTTATAGATTGGTATCAGACATATGGGATAATATTGGGTTTATGGACTTGCAATGGACTGTGCTGGGATGTTTTCTATATTCAATCACTCTTGTGTATAAACCTATTCTTATACCCATATGAATCTCCCTGGATTTGTTTCTCTAGTCTACCCAGACTAACACAACCAGTGTCTGGAAAAGGACATCATGCTTGATAATGTGGAGGAGTGTCTAAGATGAGGAAACCTTGCATAAGTTTGTTTGTCAATGGCCCCAACAATTGTTAGCATTCTGCAGGATGAGAAATATTTCCTTTTTTTGTATATAGAGTCACTATGAGTCTGAACCAACTTCAGGGCACTTAACCAGTCTCCAAAATAGCTCCCCAATAAAATAAATATTTAATCATCATCATTAGTGTTTTGGTCTGATTGATTCTAACATTTTAGTCAGTATCTACTCATAATTTGTCCTTTAATCAGAATGAAACTTTCTATATATTTTTAGTAAATTTAGATAATTACTCATGGGTTTGAATTTACCTAATGGCAGCAATTTTTGTTTTAATATATTTATATTACATAAATATATTAAATAAGTGAAAGAGATAGAGAAATAAGTCAAAGAGATTCTGTGTATGCTTTAGCTAGTCACCATAGTGACACCATCTTGCACATAGCATGATATCACAATTTAGACATTGGTATTGATGCTAATTGCAGAATTACAGGAACCCTGGTGGTGTCGTGGATTATGAATTGCCTGGCTAACCAGAACATCAGCAATTCAAGCACATTACCTTCTCTGCAGAAGAAAGATGAACGTCTCAGAAACCAAATGGGAAGTTTCACTCTCTCATACGTTTTCAATCTTAGTTGAAGTTTCCATGAAAGCACCTAACATCACAACAATGTGTACAGAGTATGTCTTTCGCAATAAAGAAACCTCAGGCTTCTCCTTGATCCTCATTTTCTTCCCCTTCCCTTTCCAAATCCTAGAGATCCTAAACGTTTCTCTATTTCTGAATTTTGACATTTCTATACCATTATATAAATGGAATCATGTGGTATATAAATGTTATGGATTTTTTGGTCACTCCATTTGAGCCCCTGAAAATCATTCAAGATGGTTGTGTGCGTCCTTTTCCCTTAATTGGGTAATATTATTCTCCGTGAGTTGATATCGACTCCAGGCCAACTACCAGAGCAATAATTCTATGGCATCGATGAACTGCTTATATGCCAACTGAAGAATATCTTGCTTGTTTCCATTTAAAAAATGTTTGCTACTATAAGTAAAGCTTCTATAAATTTTAGTTTTTGATTAAGTTATTATTTCTTTGAAATAAATGTCTAAGGTTACAGTTTTGTGAAATATAATACATTCTTTGCAGTTTCAGAAGTTCCCAAACTGTTTCTCTGCATGGCTCTACCCTTTTCCTTTTTGGTTTATGATGTCGAGACCTGTTGACATCGTGGAGTGAGCACTGGACGGCTCACCACAGAATTGACCACGCTTTTCACGGGAGAACGACGAAGCGATCTGCTTCCATAAAGATTTAAAAGCCTCAAAATTCTGCACAGGGTCACTATGAGTCAGAAAGAGAAATAGGAAGCTTTCTACTCTAATAAAGAGTTACAGTCTTGGAAATCCGCATGGACCATTCTAGCCTTTCTGATAGTCGCCCACGTCAGAATGGACTCTACGATAGTGAGTTTCTTTGTCAGTATATGAATGAATGAGTGTCTTCACTTCCTTCTCAGCTGTCAGTATTACCCCTACTTAAACATCTTTCTAACTGTATGTTTAATTTGTTTTTCCTAATGTTGGATGATGTTGAACATATTTCTATATTCTTAGTATTTTTTCTCTTTTTCCTTGTTTTACATCCTTTATAGTGAAATATCTATTAGTCTCCCCATTTCTAAGTGAATTATAAATTGTTGGGGTTTTGTTGTTGCTTTTTCTTATTGTGGTTCATGAGAAAATCTTTACATGTAAATACTAGTCTTTTTGATAAGCAGTTTGCAAATATTTTATCTCATTTTATTGCTTATTTTTCCATTAGTAAAAATAGGATTTTTGAAAGATAGAAATATAGGTTAGAATAGCCCTGTAAATACTGATTCTATTTAATTCATCTATATGTACATGCTCATGAGTATATAGTATAATTTAAGATCATACTATAGGTGTTATGTTACATAGTGGTAGGGTAAAAGATTTGAAAGTACATTAAAATGTATGTAAACAACTTAATCTTCTTTTATAATGTTTTTCTGTATTACTTTGAAATCATTATGCCACAAGAACCAACTTCTATATAAACTAATCAAAGAAAAAATTGCTGTAAGTCTTAAAGAATTTTTACTATCCAAGAATGCTTTTTCACTGAGATTAATGATATATTTTTTTATTTATATGGGGATGTAGCAGATCAGGATACATAAGACTTATAATAAATAAGCTTATTTGTACATATGCAACTAGGAAGAAGCCACTTTTTTTCATGATGAAATGGTTTATTGAGGAAGTTAACAAATTGTGATGCCCATGAGAAATGTTTATTAGGACGTTACTACGTTCTTTTGGGGACCTTAATAAATGTCCAAAGGGACGCACCACTCTGCTATAAGCCTCAACCCAAAGGCTTTCGGCTCAAGCTCTGTGAGTCAGCAAGCCCAGCTCCCTAACTTAAGTGCCCAGAAGAGACATCTCATACTAGTAACACTCAGACTACAGGCACTCAGCTCTACATCCACTGGTCAGCAAGCTCAACTTCCCCAAGGAAACGCTCAAAGGCATGTGTAAGTAATTGTGAACAGAATTCCCTGGAGTGGCATCTTACTGTGTATAAAATGAGCCCTCTGAGAAGGAGGCGGAGGGAACCCAGGAGTGGAGTGAATTCTCTGAACCCAAGATCCCTGCCAGGTGAACCTCTTGGATCTCCAAAAGACAGCTGTAAAGTCAGAGGGGCAGCAACAGAACCAAGAGTCAGAGCCCTCAACCAAGTGATGGACTTCCCAAGCCACGGAGCAAGTCAAGCTGAGTGTGTTGGTGCACGAGGCTGGCTTATGGAGTGGGGTACCTTTGAGACGTCATTTTTGATCCTGCCTGAACTTTTCACTTCCACTGATATTTTTGTCTCTTTATTTGTAAGGGCTAACTTCTCAGTTATATTTGAAAAGGCTGCCAATCTGGTTGTCAGCAAAGATAAAATTTTATGCACCTCAGATGAGGTCTTAGTCTCTTGTGGGATAAGGGTTTATTGACCAATACCATGGTTATCTGGATCTAACTCTCTCTCCAGTTGAATTATAGTCAAATGCTTCCTTGTTGACATTATGTTGGACAAATCCATTTCAGTATAGGTTTTAGAGTAAAATTGAAGACAATAGAACAATGAATGTTTTTAGCAAAGAGTCCATAAAAATAAATGAATTCTAGTTTATTTTCCTTTTTTTCCAATAAATACATAAAGCTCCTTACCATTTCTTTCCATTATTTTGATTAACATGTTAATAGGATCTTTAAGAGCATCATTATACTGATTTTCCACAGCCTGATATAAAGGACTCATTTCACAGAAATAATCATGACTAGCATTAATAGAGAGATGGCAGGGCCATAACACAACAATATAAGGCATATTTACACCATCTTAACATACAGAACACCATACACATACACAAATATCACAAATCTGGAACGAAGGAAATCTAGTCCCCCAGACATTTACATTTATAAGCTTTGCCTGTAACATTTTTTGCTCTATTTTTTGTAATTTTATTCTCTTTCCAAGCAACAAACATTTTCCTTATTTCACTTGATTTACTTGTAACATTGTGCTCATGCAAAAATAATACTTGTTTTATTGCATTAACATTTAACAGTTTGAGATTGGGTCCTAAAACCACCACCTAGCATTTTACTTGATATTGCTTCGCTCACACTGTCATGTAGTTAATGTGATAGGATGATTTATTTTTGGTGAGTTACAGAATGACAAACATATCCAGTTAACCACAGTTCAAAAATCAAGATTCTAAGATTCTTGACCATGCACATTATACTCTCATTCCTGCGAAACGGTTTGAATCAGCTATGCCATTTTGATTTAACCATTTTCAGCTTCATTTTTATTTTTATTATGTTTGAAAACAAACCCGAAGCAATAATGAAAGAAAATATCACCCCACACCCACTGTTCACAAATAGGAAGAGCAGCAAGAAACACACTGACCGCTATTAGGACGTCAGTCAAGTGGTGACACCGAAGTAAACAGTGAACGTCATTGAAATACTGCGAGACTAGGAGGATTACTATAACCCATACTTCTGGAGCAGTTCACATTGCCATTGACGTTTACGCTCTGGAAAATAATCTGGAATGTGGATTTTTTTAAAATCCTGAATGCACTTTTTCATTTCTTCTTCCACGCTCAGCTTCTCAGAGACTTTCTTTTTGGAAAGATTGGTTTCCCGAGACTTGCTGATGAGCGTCTGAAAGAGTTCGCTGTTCCTGCGCTTGTCTGGTGGGGGCATCCACTGCACCGGGGCCTTCTTGGAAGGCCGATCCAAGGTTAAGGTGTTGGGCTGGTGCGCTGTGGCCTGTGGCGCATTGGGTGGGTTCTCCTGCGGAGTGCTCGCCTCTGAGTGGCTGTCACAGCTGGACGTGGAGAGCTCGTTACACGAAGTCCCACTTTCACTTCCCTTTTCTGCAGCTTTGTCGTGCTTCCTATCTTCACGGTCTTGTTGGGGTGACACTGTTTTCTGAGACGGTCCTAAGAAATTGAAAAGAAATAGTGCAATTGAGTAAGAGTGAAAAGCTCAGATTAAATAACCTTGATAACATTTATTATATGAAAAATACTGTTGGCTGCATTACTCTCCCCTCAAGCAATATAGTACCTAGCACCTTCAGCAATGGTTGAATGATAAAGAATACTAATTATCTTTACCAAGAATGTTCACCATGTTCATTTAATGAAAATTGCTGCTGTATTAAATCATCAACAATTTTATGCTCAAAAGAATAACTTGGGGTTTTTTAGTGAATAATTCCTAAAATTGGAAAAAAATAAAAAGAACTTAAAAGTAAATATTTTGCTAATCCCCTATCCATTCCACTACACAGTTCATTTCTGTCCATATACTGGAATTAAGTTCCTTTCTGACTACAGTTTTCCATGTTGAGATTAAGGAAGTGTCATTGCTCTATTTTACACAGAGGCAGGACTCCCAAGGCCCACAGGTTCAATAGCATCATTTATGTTGCTAGGTGGGAGGTTGGTTTAAATCTTATCCTTAGTCTCTTAATCTTATTTTTCTGTTTCCTGTAAGATAAATACAGGCCTATAGTGAAACTACAGTTGAAATGTAGTGTTTTTACATTTTATTATATTATAGTGAAAAAATTTACTACATTTTATTATATCATAGTGAAAAAATACAGTTGAAATATAGTATTTTCCTAAAGACAAGGTTTACCATTTGAGTTAAATTACCTAGGATGCAAGTTTTCAGAAATTGATAGTTTGTTCAAATAATTATTTCAGAACCACAGTTTATGATAGGGAACATATTTTATTCTCCTTGACTCATCCATGGACTTAGGCTGTCCATTTACAATATATTGAATACCACCACATATACAGAAGGATACTAAAACTTTGATTAACAGGAGCCCAGGCATTCAGAAATATAAATGACCTGAATCTCTTTTCCCCCTTATACTTCACGTTTATAAACAACTTTTATAGACTCAGAATGGGATGAAGCTGTCATTATTTTTACAGTGCTGCTTGAATATAAAACAAAACAAAACAAAACAAAACTCTGTAATTCTGAGGATGTCAACCTCGACTACTTATTGGAATTACTTGGGAAGCATTAGATCAATGATGCCTGGATCCCAGCAGAAGCTGTCTGAATTGAATTGTGTACTTCTTGGCTTTATGGACATATCAAAAAAGCCCCGTGTGATTTCACCATGTAGCCAACATTATGGACCTTTATTCAGTCTAGTATACACAAGTAAACAACCAAAGTTGATAGTATATGTTACTCAGCTAGGTGACTAGGTAAATCAGCAAAAATACTTTTAAAAATAGTAGTGTGTAACACACTAATAACATGCACACTACTGCCTTTTTCTATTTAAAACCAGAAGACACACGGGTCAATACTAAACATTTAATTCATTGCTATTCAATATGGTTCAAAACAACAACAACAACAACAAATTTTAAGGCTAGTTGAGATGATGGACATTCTATATCTTGTCTGTGGTGTTCATTACATGACTACATTAATTTGTGAGAACTAACAAGTCTATACCTCAAATAGATAGATGTTACTGTATGTACCTCAATATGAAAGTCAATTAACCCAATATAAAAAATAAAAACTACTTACACAATTGATGTGTGTATGGATTGGGATAACAGTTGTATGAGCCCCTAATAAAATGTTAAAAAAAATAAATAAATAAAAATAAAAACTATATATTTGTTGAGGGAAGGGCTTCACCAATAATCCATACTTACTCTGTCTACAATACAAAAAAATAAGATAAAATGCAAATGCTTGTTGTCCAGTAAGAAAGTGCACTCAATTCCTGTTGGTAGGAAAAGAGTGAGGACCAATTTCTCTGGTGGGCAAAAAAGAGGACTGACTGTTTTTACGGATTGCAAGGGGGAGTGTGCCTGGTACTATGCTCCTAATAAGGCACATTGGTTCCAGTTTCTGTACCCCCTGGGTCTCAGGCCCTGTACCATAATATACTAGAACATTTAACCCTGGATCTTTGAGGCACACAACATGCTCTAAAGGCCATATCGGAGGATATGATGTGAAAACCCCACTAGGTGAAGTGGGTTCTACCTCAAACACCACTGTAACTTACCAAGGACTTAGGACCAAAACCACAAGGTGTGTAAAGAAGCAGAAGTCAGCTATACCAAGAATACTGAACTGTCGCTAGGTGGATAAACATTAACTTAATACTACAATTACTTATTTACTTTATTAAGATACGTTTTATTCTGAAAGACCTGTGTCTGACATCATCAGTGAATGTTACTGTACCTTTTACCTGACCACCAACTCCCATTGATTGTGTAAAGAGTGTCCAGTCATGTAAGGATTTATTGTGTACAAGTGAATAAGCCAGGTATTGTGCTTTGTAGTTTGCCTACAATTGTTCAATCTCTTATTCTCAGTTGAGTTTTAAAATCATTACTAAGAGCTAAATCAATGACACTATAAGCAGAATGTGCTTATGCTACAGGAAGATGATCAATACGATTCTCTACCATAAAATAGTACAAATCTCTCTACGGTGGACCAGAGGCAGATAGAAAACATAGATTCAGGAATGTAATTGGGGGTCACACTTAATCTTAGCTCCAATATAAAAACAATTACTTCTTATAACATGGTGCTGAGTATACACCACCATGAAGGAAACAAGTAAGATATGGGTGTTACAGAAGATGTGTGATGAAGAAATTAGATGGTGCTGGATAGCAGAAAAATAGCATCTGGGGTCTTAAAGGATTGTTTTCAAACAGGCAGTCATCTAAGTGAGGCATCCACTAATAAACCCACATGGAAGAAGCACACCAACATCTGTGATCAAACAATTGTAAGTGAAATAATTGAAATCCAAAAAAGGGAGTAATATCAGAGCTTAAATTGTGAGATTTTGGTTTGCAGAAGGCTATGGATGACAGTGGAAGCACACAATACATTTACAGGATATATATGAGGGGGCATCATGCCAAAAAATCAGAATTTTTTTCAAAGCTATGTATTTAATTTCTTTTTACAAAACCACCTTATCACCTTCAAACTACTCTCTAATACACTTAATATATATGTCAAATCTGCAATTCCATTATTGGAAACATTTTTCAAACTCATCTGTTTAGATGGCTGACATCAACCCCCCCCCCCCTCCGTTTTTTCTTCACCTCTTCAATATCATCAAATAGCTGTCCATTCATGCCCATCTTCATTAGCAGAAACAAAAAGAAGTCACACAGAGTGAGGTCTGGTGAATAAGGTGCGTGGGCAAGAAAGGCATGCACTTTTTTGTCCAAAACTGGTGCACTGAGATGGCTTCAGGAGCAGGTGCACTGTCATGGTGGCAAAATAAGTCCCCCATCTGCCACAAATCAGACCATTTTTGTCACACAATGTTTTGCAATCTTTTCAGAACCTCTAAATAGAAAACTTGATTAACAGTCTCTCCTGGTGCAACAAACTGCAAATGCACTACAAGTTGACATTTTTGTCCATTCAGGTAGTTGACAAATGTCCAGAATGAGGTTTGTCATCAATTGACATTTTTACCTTTTGGGAAATGAGAAAACCGCTCATATGCTTGAGTTTTCTCATAGCACTCTCCTTGTAAGCTTTGTTCAACAGTACCACAATTTTTGCTTCATTTTCCCTGAGCAGGAAACACAATTTCACAGCCTCACACTGTGTTCTTAAGTCGTCTATCACACACACAACCCCCGCCCCAAGGTTTGAACAAAACTGATTTTATGAAAAAAATCACTTTGACCAGAGAGAACCTTTCCACGCGATGCCGAGTGCACTAACTCAGAATGAGTTGTCAGATGCTCACGTAGCAGGAAAAGTGTGTACTATGAAAACTCCGCTCCACCTACTTAATTTCATTTTGAAGGGTGGTACCACCTGTTACATGGAAAAAGCTTCCAGTGATTTTCCTGTGACCATAATTGATGGTCATAACGTGGTCTTGCTGATAAGAATAAGCTGGTTACCAGAGAGAGTGTGTTGCAGAGACAATCATAGTAGATAAAAATGATAGATCTCACTTGAATGTTTAAAACCTTGTAATTTGATTTACTTTTGATACACTTTGAGCTTGATGTGGCTAATTTTTTCATTTTTAGTTTTTTTACAATTTGTGGTCAGTCCCTGTTTTATTTTGTCACTGTTGGTAGTCTTGGTCCTCTGCTATGTATTATTCTGTTTTTTGGTGTATGAAACCTGGGATGGTGAATTTATACAGATAATAACTAGAATAAGTTTTCCTGGGGAGTACATTGGGGGAGGTTGGGGGGTAATGGGGAGCTGATATTAAGGAGTACAAGAAAGAACATAATGTTTTGAAACGGATGATGGTAGCAATTATACAGCATTGCTTGGTGTGACTGAACTGCTGAATGGTATGCTGTCTGGGTCACGTCCTAATAAAAGGGTGTGGTTAAAAAGTGCACTTATTTCAGAGGCATTTGGACTATAGAATACAAATAAAAGTAACTCGCCAGGACTGTAAAATAGATAAGGCATGAGAGTCGAGATGATTGATTTTTAACCTCCATGCCGAAAACCATCCATCATACGTAGCCATGTTCATTCTCCACCTTACTCTGTCTTGAGTGCCTGGTAGGGAGGATTCTCTTCTGATGCTCCCTTGACTTGGTGTTGGTAACTGGATTCAGGTGCAGCAGTTAGGCATTGGGCTGAGATAGCATTGTCGGCAGTTGGAAAGCCGGAAGAAAGACGGTTTTCAACTCTGGTAAACAAAGTCTAAGAAACCCTCAAAGGGTGTCTTTCTATGAGTCAGCATTAACTCAATGACAGTGACCATGAGAACACACACACACACACACACACACACACACCTCTACTACCTGCACCCCCCCCCTGTAACTAGGGTGTTACCCACACTGCTGTAGCAAACTCCATCTTCTCCCTTGGCAAGAAGGGTTTTAATTATAGGATAAGCTTTTAGGAGAAACAT